TAGCCACAGATATGGTGGAAAGCGGTGAATTGTAAGCTTCTCTTGTCATTTTATGCATTTTTTCTCATTGGTTCATAGATCCAAATATGCGCTTGCTGTCGTCGCCACAATTCTCCAACTTATTGAAGAGGACGACAGTGTTGGGGGCTACGACGTTGGGTGTAACCTGGAGACGACGATTGCCAACAGCCCATTGGCCCAATTGGCGGCAGAGAAGGGCTTCCGCTGTGTCGTCGGCTCGTTCCACGGTCACGCGCACAATCGGCGCTGCCAACTCACGTTTCTTGCCAGTTATATCGAAGGCCTTGGTCTTGAAGACCTAGAGACGCTCGAACGCTTCTTCTCCCGCTCCAATGCACTTGCGCGCTCTTGCCGTAACGCAAGCGCATTCCACCGACAACAAGAGATTACGACTTACTTCAAGCATGTCGATACCTTCGAGACGCAGGCCAACGTCAGCAAATTCATCTGCAACAATTATACACAAGCGTTGAAAATCCTTGAAGACGAACCGGTGCTACACCAGCTGATGGCGGAGGAGGGCATTCCGGATGGCACCGACTTTGTACGAGCGTTACAAGAAGAGGCGGACTGCTTGGCAGCGCTGAATGCTAGCTCCAAGCCGACCGAAACAGATGAAGTCCGCTACATCCGAGCACTCAAGAAACTTGATTCGTCAACGTAAGCTTCCTCATTTTGGCTTCGTGTTTGTCGACATTAACTTGTCTTAGGTCTCATCTTCGGGAATGCCGCAGTACAGCTCGACGAGCTCGTGCTGACGACGCCGCTTTTGTCCCGGGTCGGACAACTGCGGATATTCAAGAACGTCACGCCGAGGAAAGGGTTGAGCGCGATTCAAAAACGGTACAGACGCTCGAAGTCACGCTCGGCATCGTACAGCGCTGGAAGCCCGAAGACCCCATATACCAACAAGCCGAACATAATGCGATGGTGCTGGAGTATCGTCAATCGCTGGACCGATTGGAGCTGTTGCTTGTGCAACGACTTCTTGAGCTGACGAAGATGAACCAATCGGGACTGGGTATGCCCTTCGGATTGAATCAGTAACTGAGCTGACATATATTAGGCTACAAGATGCGCGTGCATTTAGCACATGCGATACAACTACGATCCAAAACGATTCGCAAAGCACTTGAAAATTACAACACCCTTGCGGCTTCATACAACCCCCCCAAACCGGAGATCCTCTGGGACGACATCGTGACTCGAACTTTTTTGGCCGATTTCGACCTTCTTCGGGACAGTACGAGCAACATACAGCAACAGCGTTGGGCTAGGCCTGTCTATCGCGAACTAATGCACCGGTACTTCAAAAGTATTCGCGCTCGAGAGGAGATCGACCGTCTTAACGTCGAGATACGTCGGCTGATGACGTGGATGGAGGATGACACCGCATTTTTAAAGAAGGCTGGGGAGTCTTTGCGGGATACCTTGGGCAAATCACCGACCCAGATTGAGGAGGATTTACTCATGGTGGTGCAATTGGAAACTTATGCAGCCCAACGACATCGATTTGACGCGTTGCATCTCCAGCGCTTTCAAGTCTTGGCTCGGAAAGAAGGCTTCACCGGGTCCCTCGAACCAGGTGTCGCTCTCCGCCCATCGGTGATGCCAACAGCGCAGACGGACTTGGAGATGGACATCAATGATGAGGTAGTCAGCGAGGATGTCCAAATGCAGTATGCAGCGCAGGAAGACGAGTCGGACTCGGGAGAGGAAGATGAAGGTGATGAGGCCTATGACGCGTATATTTCGGACTTGGTATATCAGCTAGGGGCAGTGGGTATTGATGATGATGGTGATAATTAGAGTCGGTGAAGTGTTGACAGTGTTGTTGTCCTGGACTTTCCTATTTTGGTAACATACCTTCCTCATATGGTACTAACCAAACTTTGTGTCAAATTATATAGAAAAAAACTTGGTTGATATTCAAAAAATATAGTAGCATAGAGACTATATTGCAGCATACATTCCTTAGTCCATATTGGGTTCCAAGTCCCAGAAATATAGCATTATAGCAGAAAATATAGCAGTATAGAGACTATATTGTAGCGTACATTCCTTAGTCAATATTGGGTTCCAAGTCCCAGAAATATAGCATTATAGCAGTTTTATTTGTAATTTACTGCAGCATAGGTCTTTTGAGGTCATCCATTCTAATTAGAAGTGAGAGCCCACTGGGCACTTCATTCTAATTAGAGTGTGTAGGTGGGATTAACAGGTGTATTGTTCCTTTGGATATGCTTTCCTCTCAAGCTCCACCTCCATTCAATCCACCTGATTTTCCTGATCTATCTTCTTTTCCGTATAACCCTTCTTTGTTTGATAATTCTACGGGCACTTTATGGTAACTAGTTAGTTTTTTAGGTAGCTCTGGTATTGGATCCACATTGCTTCTGCAATTGCATTTCGTCGAGCCTCCGCCTCTGCCTGCTCAGCTTGAGGAACAGCCATTTGATTGCTGAGCTCATCGGGAGCTGATTCGTTTCGTGGTGTTGGGTCCCAAATATCTTCATCCTCATTATATAGAACATCTGTAGCCTCCACGGGATCATAACGGAGAATAAGATTGTGAATGGCAATCAAAGCAGATGGAACTCGAGCCTGGATGGTCATGTTATACTTGAGTGGTGTGCATAAACAGGCCCATCTCTTCTTGAGAACTCCAAATATACGTTCGATCACATTCCGTGCTTGAGCATGCCGCAGGTTGAATAACTCCTGTGCATTTACAGGTCTAAGATAAAATATTAGATTTGTAATATCATGATTTGATGACACTCACGCCCGGTCTGCAATTCCCCATTCCCTCAGATGATAACGGATACCCCGATAAGGTACAAGAAGTGCACGGCAGTTTGGAAACCCTGCATCAGCAAGAAAGAATTTGTTGAACGGGATTCTGAAGTCTGCCATTCTTGATTGTGCAAACATTGTTGCATCGGCTGCTGAGCCATCATATCCAGTAACTGCATATTGGAACCGCATATCAAAGGAGCAGCAGCAAAGGATGTTTTGCGAGACTTGGCCCTTTCGATCACGATGGTATTGGCGTTCCTCTTTGGATGGCCAGGATGGAATATGGCTGCCATCAATGGCACCTAGAGCATCTTTGAAAAAGGGCATGAAAATGGGATTATTGGCAAAGTGCTGGGGTTGGGGTGTGGTGGCGGTGGGTAAATGGACATAGCGGTTATAGAAGTTGGGACCAGAGAACGCATCCAACATTTCTTTGAAGTAACTAGAAAATATTATATAAATTAGTTCAACAGATTCAGAGAATAAAATAAACTCACATGCTAATAGTCTCATTTGAGTGTTGAAAACGTTCCCCCACATGACGGATAGAAAGACCAGTTACGCAAGTATAGAGAAAGATAGCCAATTTTTCTTCCAATGAGATATGCCGTGACTCAGTATAGCCCATCCAGCGAAGCTCGGAAATGAGTATGTTGAAAATATGCCGACGTACACCCAATTCACAAAGAATCCGGTCTGGGTGCTGGCTATGATACAGTTCATCAACCCAGGCTTGACCAGATAGTGCAGAGGTATGATAAGGTACAGGTACAGCCCGAGCCATGCTAGCATCATACAGCATAGACATATACGCTAGTAGCTGCAGTAGATGGGCAGCCAGGAGGGCAGCCAGTGTCCGTGTACGACGAGCATCAGGGAGTCGAGGAAGCATTGGTGGCGGTCACATCATATCACATGATGATGCCTGTGACTTGGACAAGCACTTGATTTTTCTCTCTCAGTGAGCTCCATAATAGCCAAAGTACATGTGTGTTGCCCTTGGACACCCTCTAAGATAACAAAGCAGTAAAGAGTACAGAAGATGAACTGAATAATAATGCCATCAACCATTCCGGCGGGTGTGAGACAATGCTAACTCAAAAAGGAAGTCACGCCGGACCTGACGAGAATCCAGATTCTCGCGAGAATCGCAGCGGATTCTCGTTCCCGAACGAGCTCTTAGGGAGGCGGACAACTGGAATGATGGATGAGACGGGTGGAAAAGCAGGGGAAAAAGGAAGGACGGACAAATTTGTTCACAATGGGGAATAAGAAGCTGTCATAAGAGGCGACACTAGGAGCAGTGCGATCATTCGCTTGGCAGATGGCAGTTTTGAAAAGATGGCATCTGCCATGGTGGCCGTCGCTGAAGATGAAGTTGACATTGAGCAATTTGAGAGCGAGAGAGATCAAGATGTTAGACTGGGGGTGAAAGCAAGAGCAGTGGGGTCTGAGAGGTCGCCACTGAGGACAGTGGACTCTTTATCTGCTGGGGAGAAGGTAACGAGGCAGATCTGGTTCGCCAGATGCTCTCAATACAGGAAAATTTTGACAGGTCTGAAAGAGGAATGATTGTTGATGATGAAGTAAGTTACAGCTATGGGTGGAGCTAAATGTACCCTAGGCAATGCATTTCCTAGGTGCACCTAAGCCAGGAGGCTAATTCTTACTAGGGTAGAGCACGGGTCAGGGTCGACCCGCAGGGTTTCAGGGTAGGGTCTGTCAGGGTCAGGGTCAGGGTATGGCAATTTCTAAACCCGGCCAAACCCGGACCCTTTCAGGGTCAACCCGGAGGGTCCAATGAGCCGTTGTGATTTAACAATTCCCTCTTTAAACTTGATTTTTATAAGTTTTTAAGAGACAAAAAAATCATATGTCACTTATGTCACTGTGACATAAGTGACATATGAGTGAACTGTATTAAATATGCTTGAAATATTAAGGAATAGGCCCCATATGCTATATCTGAGCCAATATCATACACCGCCAAAAGGCTGTCATCCAGTGACAGGCTGTCGATGTCAGATGGGTCCAGCGGAACGCGCAGCTAGGATCTGCTGGCCCGCAGATGCCTGCTATCTGGGGGCATCAGCTGAAGGCTAGCTTAGCAACCAGCCTGACACCAGCTGAATAGAGGAGCGACACCATGTATTTACAATAGCTGACATTATCCTAATAGACTATTCATCCTCTGACTGGTAGTACTCTTGCTCACTTGCATCCTTCTCCAACACCTGATCACTCTCCGAAGCATCCTCGGAATCACTCGAAGCATCCTCTGCCGCCAGCGCCTTCACTGTCTTCGTTATCGTTCGCTTGGCCCGTCCTGCCGCCAAACTTGTGGATCCTGAAATCGCCACAGAGACTGCGATGGGAATGATAACCTTAGGTGACTTTGGCTTCTTCTTCTTGGGAGCGGCCTTGCGAGTTCGCTTGCGTGCCGGTGCTGAATCAGAGTCACTATCCTCAGCTCGACGACGCTTGCCTTGCTGCATGGCAGTTCCCACCACTTCTGACTCGAGATTGGCGGCTCCATCCCCGCTAGATGCTTGACGCCCTTCCGTTGCAGCATTACCCTTGGCTGCCTTTGCGGCATTCCGATTCCGAAGCCGGGTCGCAAACTCAATGTGCTTTGCGGAACGGTCTTCGAAGAGCGGAATTGGCGCCCAGAGATTTCGGGGAAGAGTCGCGCGAAGGAGGTGGGCGTTGTGGAAAGAATGGAGGTTGATAATATAGCGTTCGAGTTCTTTATGTACAATGAAATGTTCAGTCTTTTCAGACGCGACACGTTCTTGAATAATGGCACGGGAACCGGTGGCTGCACATTGGGCCGCACGACAGTCATGTTGTGCATTGAAACTGAAGCTGACGTTCTAGAATAATCACCATGTCAGTGAAATATAGTAGCAGTTGAAGAGCCCATACCTTGGTTGGAACGATGAAAAGTAGTGTTTCGCCATTGGGGCGAATCAACGCCCGGCATCCCATATACCGGATCGCGGACTGCCGACGTCTGGAAGCGCTCCAAAACGGCAAGGTTGGCCTCGGTCCCCTTGAGGATTTACTACAGTCTAATTGGTGTTAGGATGCTGAATGACACCAAAGAAGATACTCACGTGAGTTGCTAGCCACGATGTGAAAACCCAAGACCCGACACGGCATTCGTCCTGCGATTGGCAAATAAAAGATTTTCCGGAGTCCCATACTGAGTTCGATGTGTAGTCACGATAGTTTGTTGCTTGCGATGCGGTTGTAGCATTTAATTCACGCAATACACGCTTATCTTCACCCTGTATGAGTGGAGTCAATTTGACAATACCTGTAAATGATCATGAGAAGGGGCTGTATAAGAACGCAGCACTTGTACCAATATCCGCGCTTGTTTGCGGTGTCCAGCCTAAGAGTTTCTGCAGGATGGGGTGTTTCTCCAAGTAATGGCGCACACCAGTACCTGCTCGGACCCATTTCTGCTCGCCTTTGGCTGCCCAAAGTCCACCCGTTAGCCGATGTTTGAGCCCTTCCTGGTCTCCCAACTGAAGCGCAATATCGCGACTGGGTGCCAGATGGTTTGATAGTATTGAGCAATATCGGAAAATCGTATTAAAACTCTCGAAGAGCTCTGTTGCCAGGCCAATGAGCGGCCCAAATTCTGTCGCGTCGTCCGCAGCGTGTGCAAGCAGGTGGTATTTAATTTTTGTTACGATTTTCGAAGGGTCGATGACGGCGACAGCATCAAGCAGGTTTGCGACTGCTGTTTCAAGGTCGGTCTAGAGCAGAAGTGAGACTGTGGAAGGTATAACAGGATGGACATACACAATACTGAGTCATGTCGTGAATTTCAGGGACCCAGAGCAAGGCAGAGAGCTCGCCTAATGCTCGCCATGCAGCGAGATGGTCGTCCGAGACCAAATCGTGCACATGGAATATGCTCATCTGAACGACGGTCTTGAGTTGTTTCCCGATGAGTGAATTGGCATATTGCATAATATATTTAGCGCGAATGGCATGAATCGAAAGCCCGCTTGTCTCGGTTGCTTGTAAGCGCTGCGAATATGTTGCCTTCTTCCCGTCGGACCAGCCAGTGTGCGAGATATGCCACACATACTTGACTGCACCAAGTAGAATGGTATGTAGAAGTTCGATGGGGGTATCGCGTGTAGGATCGAATGCTACAATCTGCCTCAGTACTAGTGCATAGTACCTCAACTAGTCAAGACATACCTGTTGTTCGTAGGAAAGCGCTGTAAAGCTTCTCGTCATTCTCATCCACCCACTTCATGAGCTCTGCTTTGATGTTTGCTGCTGGTCGTTCGGGGTCGGCAACACTTAGTTGCGCGAAACGGGCTTCGAGACCCGTGATCCATTGCTGCGTATATGCGTCTTTCACGCCCGTGTTGCGCTGGATCTTCTGGAGCTTGTCCATTGTTGTCCCACCACACACATGCCGGACCTGGAGCCGCAACTCGTTGAGGACATATTCTTTCGTTCGCGGAACACCAGGCTATGATTATTAGCTTATATGGCAGCCAATGGAAGGGAAATAAAACCTTGAAAAGCTCTTCATACCCAACATTCGAGTGCTTGTGCGCTTTCGGACCGCCGACCTTGCATTTTCGACAAAAGTAGTTGGCCTGGCCACCCATATGAGACGACACCTCGCTCTGCATCGGGTTGTCGGAAGGGCCGGCGTTACAGTAGACGCAGATCTTTGTTGTATTTCCTGCGTCGTCTTGGACAGCAATCGGCTTGGTGTGTGTGGCTCTGAAACCATCAGAAAGAATACCAAAACCATATGGAGGCACGCACTCAATGGCAGTCTTGAATTCTCGATATTGCTCGGAAATGGACGCATTGGGGGAGGTCGAGATGAAATGGATGTGATATTCTTGCTGAAGCAGTTTTCGGGGAAGATTGCGATGTGTCATATACGCGTTCCAATGCTTGTTCCACGATTTTGAACGATTTCCGGACACATCGTCACCAAAGTAGTCGACAAGGCTGGTGTACATCGGACAGCCTCCCGCAATTGCGCGTTTACGGTTGGGCATCCTGCTTGGGAGTCCCTTCGAAAATGTTGCTGCTGCCACTCGCATGAGAACCGGAAGCATTCGTTGCAGACGGCACTCACCACTCCATTGCGGCACCGCTCCAAGATCAAGTAGGTCCAGATAATTTTCCTTCATCTCTGCTGCCACAACGAGAAATGTCTTCGAATCGTCGATCACTGCTTCCCCAGCCTGCTAGAAGTAAGCCTGCGTTGCAAGAAAAGTGGATTCACATACCTCGTCAATTTCGACAATGTAACAATCTGCGCAAATGGCAGAGTTGACAGTAACCCAGCGTATGGGAATGACAAACTGGCCATCTTTGACGCGGCAGAGCTCGTTGACATAGAAATGTGCATGGCCAGCATCATACATCGGACTCAGCGCGTCGAGGTCCATATTTTTCCTCCATTTTTGCGCATGCCAGATCTCGCGAATGATGCCGTCGGTAGGAATTTCTGGATAGACGCGAATGTGTTTCCGAATTGCGGAATTAGCCCAATCCTGAATGGTCAGAAGAATGTCTTTGAGAGAGGACGAGGAGGACTCACATGTGCGATAAGTGCGCAAGGATCATTCATGAAAAAAACGTTTCCTAGCGGCGACAGGCAAGGGAGGGTGGGGATGCCTGATTCAGCACGAATTTCCTTCTGAACTCGGTTGAGGCCTTCAAGAGAAGGAACATCGTGAGCCCCCATTTCCCGCATGATCCACAGTATAACGCGCATGAGTGATTTAGAGACCCGAAGTCGTGGAAGGTTGTCGAGAATATCAAGGAGGAACATCTGCGCCACGTTTGATTCAGAAGAACGCGGTCGCAAAGGACAGAAAACTCACCGTTTTATTTGGATATGGAAAGTATCCAGTGCTTGATGCAATTTTCTGGGTGCCAGCGGTTTGAATTTCCTCCTCGGTGGGGCCCACAATACCTGTGAGGCCAGTCAGATGTGGGAAGAACGAGGGGCGAAACGGACATCGATGGCAGAATCAAGTCCGCATGTCACATGTCCGCTGTCATCCCACATTGACGACAACACCCACCTGCGTTGGCCAGCAACTCAGCGAGGAAGTCTTCCTCCTCATCTCTTTCATTCATCTCGTCTTCCACTGTCCCGTCGCCAAATCCCAGCCGTCGCGCAACTCCATCAGGATCCCAGAGCCCAAATAGCTCCACTTGACGATCGAGGAGGCTGTGAGCCACTCGACTCGTCTCTGCTTCGTCTCCCGCACTAAAGGACACCCCCACCCTCCTCATACCCCCGCCACATCTCGACCTCAGCCATAGTTGGGACACCCAGGGCGCTTTTCATAGGCACAGGAGGCTGGATGGGATGTGACGTATGCCGAAGCGTCAGTCGAGCACGAGCCGAGGCTTGCTGCAATGCGTGCTCCTTCAGTCGCTGCTGCCCAGCGCTCACAACTCCCAGCGCCTTTCGATGTTCTTCAGCTTCCTCGTGCTTCATGGTACTCCTCCGCCCAATCCATACATGCCGTTCGGGCGGGTTTCCAGCAGCACAAATTCGACACAGAACGCGGTCATCATCCTTTCTTGTTTGCCATACTGCACGTAGTGAGTCCCATCTTTGTACATTGCTGGCTGCCAACTTACCCTCTTCATTCAGCTTCGCGCCACTTCCTCGACCGGGCATGGGTGGTCAACAAAGAGCCAAGTGAGACTCCCCTTTCTGCGATCTGTTTCGTAGCCCTGATCCACATATTATCTCCAGCTTTGTTTGCGCTGTTGTCCAGCCCATCTCACGTCCCTATCGGCTGTCCATCAGCTGTCCACTTCCCTGATTCGCATCCTCATCGCGCGGTCGACAACAACATCAGCTTTCGCAAGTCCCTGACAAAGAAAATACTTAAGAAACCTTGTCGACACGCTGAATTTCCAGCATCCTATCCACCCTACTTGCTGCAAATGCCTGCTGAACCCACCACCCCCCACTGCCAACCGTCTCGACAGCATCTTTGACGCCATGGGGCAGATGACACCGACCTTCAATTTCCTTCCCAACAACAGCCCAGAAACTGCTGCAATGACTGAGCTGCAGCCTCTCCCCGGTCTCAATCTTGTTCCTCGTCAGAACGCCACCGAAACCATTCAGCGCTTTGCAGCATCGCGTCAGCTGCACCAGGACCAGACGAGTGAGTGTATTGGGCTGCTTGGGGTATGTTTCTGTTGTCTGCATTTACTCCTGCGAATGCGATGACAGGAATTCGACAATGTGGTTCTCGTCAAGCTTATGGTAGAGCTTATGGCACTCAAGAACGTTGTTCGGAACATCGTCGTTGCGACCCCGCCCTATGTCATGTCGGATCCCACCCGTGTAAGTGTTATGCCTATGTGTGGTGGTTTACTAATGCTGTTGTAGCGCGGCCTCACCAAATTTAGCCTCGCGGCACTGTTGTCGTTGCAGCTTGGCTCCTACAAAGGCAAGGCCCCGGTCAACATTATCCTAGTTTGTCGAGATTTCGTGCCGCCTTCTGATATACTCACTAATCAACAGAACTTGTTAAAGACTCATCGCTTTGACCTCCCTTCTGGCATCGAGCACCACCCCGCCGATTATGAGACCCTCAAGCGTGAGGTCCAGGAAATTTTTACCCAGCTCCGCTCGAAGATCAAGAAACAAGTCAGTATATACCATTCTTCTGGTGACAAATCTAATGCCCGTCGTGCAGGTTGCACTCTCCGTTCAGTATGACCGCACTAACAACTCATTCGGTCTCGCCAAGGAGCACGTCAATATCTATGCGCTCTCGGAAGAGCTTATCGAAGGCACCAACTGTGTGGTTACTATTGAGCTTTGTGCGCGTGTCGCGCTGATTGTGAGACACTTATTTTGTCAATCCTAGGCTCGCCATGCTAACAAAGCAACAGCGTGATGTCTATATGCAGTACCCTTCCCATCCCAAGTTCTGGAACAAAGTCGACGACTTCCTCAGCGCAATTCATGCACAGGCCAATGGGGATACACGTATGATTACCCGGTAAGCTCGTCCTGATGATTATACCATATCACTAACTACAAGAGCAGTGCTTTCCGCAACATACTCGACCATGATCGTGCCACCCATGGTGTCAACAACTACACTATTACCGCGACCGTTGGTGACCCAATCCAACAGCAGATTTCGAGTGTTATCGATGCTACGGCTATCAATGCGGCTTCCGCTGTTGGCGCTGACAATATGGATGTATAAGGGGATAGCTGCAGTAGCGTACTATCGAGGTTTATGAATACATTATGGTTATATGGTCTATATATGGGCACGATGTTACTGTCAACCCTCCTCCCAGCTAATTGGACAGCTTTAATCCAGTCCCTTGACCAGCTTGCTGCCAGCCAGACCTGGCAGCAAGCTGGTGTCATTTGCAACCGCTCCGATCTCTCAGCTGTCAGCCCCCTCGGGTCCACCCATCGATGTCAGACGTCACGGATGCCAGCGTCAGCCGCCCGACCAGGTGGCGATTGCGTTGCGGTGTATAGCAAAATGTATCTTATGTTGAAATTATTGTCCCAAATACATCTTCTACTTCCATGTCTCCAACCCGTGGGTCAACCCGGACCCGGTTGGACCCGTACCCGGAAGGGTCAGGGTTAGTCAGGGTCAGGGTCAGGGTCAGGGTCGGCCTTCTAAGACCCGGACCCGGACCCGTGCTCAACCCTAATTCTTACAGCTATGGGTGGAAGTAATATGACCATGTGGTACGGAATGGCACCACAAATATGGAGAACAACAAGGCCGACCAGCGGCAAAGACCAAATACATTGAGGCTCAAACATGGTATATCTACAAGACCAACATGGGGCAACCCTGTACAAGATGAGAGTCTCCGCTGCAATAGGCACAGACTTTCTGCTTGCTAAAAATGGGGACGGCTCCCAAAGGGTTTCCGAGCAACATGCGACTTGTAATTGCCAGAGGAGGCAGCAGCGCTCTTGTTCATATTGATCATAGCTGAGCCCGATGGCATCAAGCTGGCGGCGTATCGAGCCTTCCGTGCTAGGAGGACTTCGACGGCAGAACGGGGTGGTGCACTATAGATCCGGCTCTTAGGCCAAATTGATGCCTTTGAGTCCAGGCCCTGGGAAAGCTCAGGAACAGGGAACTGATTTTTCTGGAGCGTTTACCACGCCAGGTCCGCTGTTTGACAACGGGGTTGTCAGTAATGTGCGGTGGCCAAGAGCATGTGTGAAAATGGGAAATGAATCTAAAACACTACACACAACTGGCACATAGCAGGTGAGGTCGGGGCTCCGGACACAGTAGATGTGAGCTGTTGGGCAATGACGCCAGGTCGGCATAGCCGTCAACTGATAGACAAGCCAAGTAGTCGCCTATGCAGACAAGTCATCAGTAAAGGTGAATCCCTGGAAGGAGAGCTCATACCTCGAACAGCGAGATGGCACCTTGAACTGCACAGTTGGCGTGTTCCACAGTATAATTACAGCAAATATCTATGGAATAACGAGCAATTTAGACAAAAACAGAGACGTGGATCTCATGTCAAATGAAGATCATTTTGATGCATGATTCGAACGCAGATATGAAAGGTTTTCTAACTTCCGAGATGCTCTCTGAAGACTGTCGGAAGATGCATGTAGTCGGCCAGAGTGCATTTCCAGTGCTAGTACTATAATATTATTTGTATTTGGCTAGTACTATATAATATGGTCCTCTGCAACATTAAGTAAGTATCTCCATAATACAATAATAATGATGAATCATAAATTTCAAGCTGCCCAGTGATAGTGTCGAGACAACCACCTTTTAAGTCTCACATCAGCACTTTGTTGCCAACAGTTGTCGATACTATTAGTATGTTTGTTTATTGTTAGAGTAACTCCGTACCCGTACTCGCGGGTACGGGTACGGTGGCTGTGCAGCACAGGTATGAGTAAGGCCTTGGCTAGCCACGGGTTTACCCGTGCCATTCCCTACCACAGGTGCACGTGTGAGACTTATACAATTCAAAATCTAGAGACACATTGGACTAGTAATTAACTATCAGAACCTGGTAAAAATGCTCTTTTCTTGCTCTCTATCCACTTATTACTGGAACACCATCATGTTGAAGTGACTGGGTTGGGAAGCCTGAGTCATTTGCTGAGAAATTATTACCACTTTTTGAATTAAAACTTGCCTAAAATTGGAAAAAATTGAGAAAAGAGTTATTGCTAATGTTTCCCAAATGTACTAAGTAGTTTATAAAAGGCTGTATCTAGTTTGGTTTCCATATCATATAGTTTCACTGCTGCCAAAATATGCTATGTAATTAAATTCAAGGTCATGAAACATCATGTGTCTTGTCATGGTGGGAAGAGCAGGTTAGGGAAGCCTTGAAGAGGAGAGAGCGCCACAAAGCCTCCTTAACTGCAGCATGCAATGCTCAAATTATTCTCTGTGGATCTAGCACATTTCTAGTCCTTACTGATGACGATCTTTACATGAAGCCAATTATGGATAAGTGGCGACTTGGAGATTCCAAGCCTTTAGATGGGGCACTATAGACTGCATTAGCTAAACAAGTACCAGAAGAGGATATTAAAATGGATGTAGAGCCAGCTACTAGTCAGTATTTTATATTTCAACTAAAATTAACTTAATATTCTTTAGGTACACCAACTGTAACAGATTTTTCCACAACCAGAAGTGGAACACAAATGGACAAGAGAAAAACTGGTAAGGAATATAAGAGCTTTTTGTTAAAGTTTAACCTGATTTACAGGGCCCAGAAAGCATATAACAGTCAATGATGAGGGAGAAACTGGAAAAAAGAACTCACTCTCAAAAGATGAATGTCCTAATGGATGGATCTGGCAGTTGGGGAAATTAACAAAAATGTCAGATACTGAACTTGAGGAATAGTCACAGGAAGGTATCTATTCAATTATTTGTTTTTAGATAAGAAATACTTGAATATTTATATAGGGGATGGTATTCAATGGTTTAGAGCTGAGGCAGAAGTGCTTCGGTGGAGGGAACAAGTTGAACAAAAAATAGCAGAACTTCTTCATCTCTGCCGGAGCTTTTTGAAAATGGAGGACACTTAGATGCAATTAGCCAAGTATGTGACATATCCTGGATACTGTGCATATGCAAAACAGAAAGCTGCTATGTACCAACGGATAGCCCAGGATACAGAGGTGTATATCGAAAAGGCTAGACATGATGATCTGCTTCAGAAAGATGCTAATTTAGTTCAATGGGTCCAAGCCAAGAGAGCAAAAGAGGATGACTTTTTCACTACAGCAGTAAATAAGTGGTTATCAGTTGTAGCAAGTGTCATAACCCAGCAGTAAGACAGTGAAGTGCTTGCTAATTAGTTTATTTGTGGTTAAATGACATAGAGATGCTATGTACTCCGATTTTAAAGTCATTAAACACCCTACCTAGTCAGCTGATGGATGGTGCACCTTTCACCCTATCTATACTGGGAATAACAATCATTGTAGGATTTATCCCCCAGGTCCTCCGTGCGGTCAACGTTGCCGACGATGGCGATAATAAGCTCGGGTGGCAGGTCCATGAGGGGCAGAGTCAAGAAGTGCTGCGTGACATCACGCCACGTGTCGTTTCATGTCGCAAAAATCACTTTTAGAAGTTTTCCAAATTGGGCCGAAATTGGCCTCCCCCGAAA